AATTTGAGCTTAAGACAACAATACCTTTCGAATGATATAAATAATAAATAATATAAAAATTCCGTCAAAAATGGCTAGTTAAAAAGTCGAAATTTGTCTGAAGAAAAAAAACCCACCCCGAGCACAAATATTCCGTTACTTTCGTGTCGAAAGTCGGAACAATAAACACTTTGTTAAATTCCAATTGAATAAGTGGCTTTGCGCTACGTCTCGAAACAAAATTCGGGTCTAAAAAAGAACAAAACAGCTCGTATCAGGGCGAAGCCTTGAATGTTCCGACTGCCTTTTAAGGTTTATGGAGCAGCAGTAATAACATAAAAAGTTAAATGAAATAAAAGATATAATGAAACTTTTTTTTTTAATTTGAAGTTTTTTATGAAAATCATCCCCCCACACGCCATATAAAGTACAAAAAGATAGATTTCGTTCCTTGTAACAAATCAATTATGGCAAATAAGCTTCGTTCAACCAATTTGGAACAATTTTTAAGACGGATTAAATCTCCGCTTACGCGTTAATAGCGCGAATTAGATCGCGCGTTAATTGTCCCAAATTGGTCAAAATGGCCAAAATGGCAATCTTCAAACCCTGATAACTTTACGCAAAATGATCACAAGTGAAATATATTTTCAAATTTAAGCTCAGGACAACAATGGCTTCCGAATGATATAAAAAAATTCCGTCAAAAATGGCTAGTTAAAAAGTCGAAATTTGTCTGAAGAAAAAAAACCCACTCCGAGCACAAATATTCCGTTACTTTCGGATCGAAAGTCGGAACAATAAATTAAATAAAGGTGAATTCAAAATGTTTGAATTGCTTGATGAAAGAACAGAACTTCATATATTGTTGTGAATCCTAATAAATCTAGCTTTGGTGCCAACTTTGTTGCCAAAATGTCTGCAACTACAAATAGAACAATTATTTCAGCGCCAAAACGTCTAAGAGGCGAAATCTCAAAGTGTCACTTAAGTTTATAAACGATCGCCGTTTAATTTAGATTGCAGCACTTAAAATGTTGAAAATTGTTGATAAAAGTTTTCATTTTCGGCACTATTGAACTAATTTTTTTCGGCACTGTTGTACTTCGGCACTATTGTACTGCCCCGTCATTTTGGTCATTTTGGGATAATTGGTTACGTAGCAGTATTTAGACAACCGCGTATTCAGACACTGTATTAACCAATCAGAAACGAGACAAGGAAGATATGAAACTCATTTCTTCCTTGTCTCGATTCTGATTGGTTATTTCAGTGTCTGATTACGCGTTTGTCTAGATACAGGGGCACTCCGGGATAACTAAATTAGCTAACCTTTCTAGTTCTCCCGTAAACGGTTAACTATAATGTAGGCAGCATTCAGCTCTTAGACCAGTCAATTATCAGAATGGTCTAAAAGCCGATTGGGTCAAACAGCAGAAAAAAAAACTAAACAGTAAATTGAGTATAAAAAGTGTCAAAATTATCGGGTCTTATGCACTAAACGGCCCAAAATCATTATTTCTACATCTCTTGAACTGAAATTAATGTGGTTGAATTTGATTGGCTAATTAGCCAATCAAGTTCCGTCGACATTTTCTGCCATTTCAAATGAAATAATTCTGCCATTACAAGCAGATAAAATTATTAGCCGAAAAGATAAAAAAATTTGAATTTTTTGTTTTGTCAAGCCATTTTTTTTGTCTGGGCAAGCTTTTTTGTCTGGGCAAGGTTTCACAAGTAACTCAAAATTAATTTGATTATTTTACAAAGTTCCATCTTTTCGAAAATTTCGGCTTATATTTTTATCTGCTGGAAAGGTTGATCGGAATGCCTGACCGTCTAACTTGAGTTTGATTGGCTAAAATTACCCAATCAAATTCGATCGCATAATTTCCAGCTTACGATGTAGAAAATTTGATTTGGGGCCGTTTAGTGCATAAGACTCAAATTATCAAAGAAACAAACATATTATGCATGATTTGAGTAATTTATTTGAGATTTAATTAAAATTCAAAATTAAAATAGATGAAATTATTCAATTCAAGCATAATTATTTCATTTATTTGGGATAAATGATGTTTCAAATAACTGTTTAGTATCAATTGGCGGATCTACTGAACAATTACCCCTCTCTATGTTATCTATTAAAAAGTTATTTAAAAGCAATAACCCCTATAAATAAAAGGATTAAATTAGCATTCGATTGTTGTTCCCACTTTCGATACAGCAGTGCTCGGGATGGGTTTTTTTTCTTCAGACAATTTTTGACTTTTTAACTAGGCTTTTTTGGCGGAATTTTTAAATATCATTCAAAAGATATTATTGTCCTGAGCTTTAATTAGCCTTAGACTAATAGGCAGTCGGAACATTCAAGGCTTTGCTCTGATACGAGCAGTCTTGTTATATTTCAGATTGGAGTTTTGCTGCATTCTGTTTCGTGTGAGTCTAACTTAATCTAAGTAACATTTGAACGGGGGATAATTGTTGTGTCGATAATTAGTTCGTATGAATTAATAAAACTTAATCTTTTTTTTTTGGTTTTCTGCTCTTGGACCCATTCTGCTCATAAACCATTCTGCTTATTGCTCCGCCTCCGATGGCAGCTAACAAAACCGTCTCAGAGAACGTCTCAAACTGAATTCACACAAGCTTATTAGTTCAAATAATGCTTTAGCAGACACGAAACTTGTATAACTGTAGTTGTTATAGCGCGGATGGAATCTCTTTAAAAATACGAAAACTTATTTTCATTCCTAACAACAAAAATTGCTCGTGAATTCAAGATCCAAATCAGCGATGTTTCATGCTCTGATTAATAATCATAATAATAATCAAAATAAATGATTTTCGAGTATTTCCATTGTGAGTATTTATTTATATATTTTTTTAAACCGCGCCAACACTTTTGCTGCCTGGGAGAGCCCCTGTGAACCTAGTGGTGTTGTTTTACTAATATCAATAATAATAAAATTAAATTTCAATTTCAAAAACTTTGAAAAGATGTTTTTCTTAGTGCGATGAGAAAAAGAAATACTCAAGCTCGAAGTCTTTTAAATTATTGTGTAGCATGGAATTTGTCACTTGGGAATCTCCATCTATGTGCTTACGAGGCACTGACAGTCTTAATTGTTGTAAGGTCAAATTTAATTAGTATTCCCTTTTTTATTCTCTTGAAACTTTTAAATAATAGTTCCGCTGTGTTTTGATTAGTTTTAAGCAAGATTTTTTTATTTGAAATTGCGTAATCACAATGTGGAGGATTGTTAAATTTCAGGTTTTTCTAATTATTTTTGTTCAGCGCAGTTTGGTTGATGGGACAAAATGAGTTTTGTGATTAAAAAACTGAAGCTTTGACAATTGGCTAAGGAAATAGTCAAAAAGAGAATTTAAAAAAATCTCACAAGCTCCAATTTCCAGTATAAGTAAATTGTTTGAAGTTTTTGAAACTTTTTTGATAACTTGGGCAAGTTTTTAAGCATCAAAGGTAACACGACTTTCCCCTAAACTTGAAAATAAACAATTATTATAGAGGCTACTGAAATTGAGCCAAAATACTCACAATACTTTTTTGCATGGTCTCTAGTGCCTTTTAAAGTGTTTACAAGCCTTAGATTTAATTCAGTGAGCCCCCAGTTGTTTTGAATGCTGCATAAACCAATCGCAGTGACAAAAAAGGATAAAAATCGAAGATATCCTGAAGAGTCTACTGATTAACGTAAGTACAGAATCGATTTATCTTCAACCAATTTGCGAACGATAATCGATTCTGTACAGATAGAATCCATTTTTTTCCACCGAAAACAAAATGGTTTTTAGTGCCATAATAATCGATTTTTCTATTGCGTATAACATGTGTATAATTTGCGGATAATCTTCATATACTCAGTATATGTTCTTTATACAATAAAAATTGTATATAAACTATAGATAGTCTGTAGATATTATGTAGACAATCTGTATAAAATATGTATCGAATTCATTAAATTGCCTAAAAACTAGAGGAGTCCTAAAACTTTCATTTTAAACCATGTTTTTTTGACAAGTTCAACAAAAATTTGCAATCGGAAAAATTTTCCTCAGTTTTATGGTGAGCTGAACTCACTTGAGGAAAATTGGTTACCGCAAACTACAAATTTCAAGAGTTCCCTCTAAGATTTTGCAATTTTAAGGTGTCCGCGGTAAGAAAAGTAATTTTAATTTTGTGCAAAACTTTTGAATTATCAACCTGTTCAGCGCAATTTTTAGAGAAAAAAAATCAAAAGAAAAATTTGGAAAACTAGCATAGAATAATAATTTACTTTGTGCTGCAACTTATTTACAAAAAAAGGAATTAAAATTTTTATTCAGATCAAACATTGGTGCAAAATTTTCGATAAAAAGCCTACATTATATATTTCTTCAATATACTCATTCTATCTGATTGGCGAGAATGTTGAGTAAATCAGTATACAATCTGAATATAACATGTATATGGGTCTATATAAAATCAGTTTTAATCTGTATATATTCTGTTGATTATCTGCATATAATCAGTATACATTCTGTAGGTTGTCAGTATATACTCTGTAGATAATGTGTATATAATCCCTTAATAGCTAGCATAAACTTAGATATAGAAAAAAAAAACAATTTCAGAGTGTTTTGGCAAAAATTATATACTGAAGGTTTACAGTATAAAATTTTTGGTGATCAGAATGCAATATAATTGAATATTAAAACTACTTATTCGATTTTTCACCAATTAAAATTACAACAGATCTGAAACCTGTATTCTTTCTATAGATAACCTGTTTTTATCCATTTTTTCACTGCGGGCACTGCATTTCTCTATAAACTTTGAAGCAAAATGGTGTGATACTCGTAAAATTTGTGCAGTTCAAGAAAAATGAAAAAAAGGAAGTTAAGATGTGTTGCTGTTATTTCTCATCCAGTTAAAAACCGATATTTGTTTATTCCAATTTTCTTATCAGGTTTGCAAGTCAACGTTTATTGGTCGATCCACAATGGCCACTATTTTTATGTTTTTTACTGGGCTTCTTACCTTTTGAATTAGTTTACATTCCTGAATTTTCTCTTTCAACCAAAATAATAGGTGCAAAAGTACTGCTCAATAATGGACCATCTTATTAACTTATTTTTCCTAGAAGCAGCAATTGATGAAATTATTTGATGAAGCGCGGCGCAATTTCGAAATTAGATTCAAAATTTTTGTCACTAAATCACGCTTTCATTAGTTCATTTTTCACGCACTTACTGTTTTGGAAAACAAATTATGCTGTGCTATTTACATTTCAAAGTAGTGACTTTGTGTATCTTAGTTTTTTGTACTTTCAAACCAATAACGATGTTTTTGTTCCATCATAACGCTAAGCTTTGAGCCATGTGAGCATCTCACAATACTAGTAACCTAAAATATTTATTTCGTATTTCACAAATGAATAAGAATACGCCTCTAGGCGTTGTTATCTATTTTGGGGGCTTTGGTTCGGCGTTTGCTGATTCGGCATTATCAGGGGCAAGCTTAGTACCAAATGTGGACAACCCCTCAAATATTTGCGACACAGGCCCCGAAAAAATGGGTGGTTTCGAAATTTCTGGTGAGACGCAACAGTTAATAGAAGATACCCAGTTTCAGCCTGAGTATAAAGTTAGAATTGTAGGACAGATTTTGATTCTCCTCGCCGCTCTCCCCCTCAATGCTTTTGTTATCTACAAGTTCGTGGGGGGTAGGGGGGCGGGCGAAGAGAGAGCAAGGGTGAATATTTTGGCGGGGCATCTGTGTTGCATCAATCTGGCTTACACTCTTTTCTCAATTCCTCTTGACATCATTTGGCATCTCACAGGTCAGTTAAATCAGCAACTTCTTTTTTTGAAAATTTTCAGAATATACGTTGTCCTTGAAAGCGTTTTCACTTGCGTCCTTATTTGAACGTTATGATTTTAATTCGAAAATAATGACAGGGTATCAAATTTACAGGTATAATAACCAGGGGGCTAGAATTTAGACGGATCCCTAAAGAAAAAGGACGACGAAATGAAGGAAAATTAAAACACCGTTTTCTTGTTGTTTTTTTCAAAAAATTGTAAAACGCATCTTCATTTTTTTCTAAAAACTTTGAATTCCAGTCAAATGATAATACATTCCGCGCTGCAGTACACTGTTCAAATTTGTAGAATTGGCGATTCTACTGTATTACATGCTATAGTAACCTGAGCTCAACATTGATTAGTCGTTAACTTAAGCAGTACAATAAACAAAAGGTCGAGTTCAAAATAGTTCAATCTTCAAAAATATCGTCCTTCCTATGCCAGAAAGTAAAAATTTTGACAAAATCGGCGAAACTCCCCCTGCCAAAATCGGAACTAAGGAAGCTAATGTTATGAAATTCAGAGGAGCGTTACTAGAGATGATTTGACCAGGGCACACGAAAAACGGGACCCCTCAGACCCTTGGGGTACAAGTGATAACAGTCCCCGGAAGTGTAAATGGCCCAATCAGAACTCGGAAACTAGCGGCGGTAATGGGCTCAAAATTTGTTATGTTGTAGGCCTAGTTGAGGGAAGCTTAAGTTTGGAACACCAGACCCCTAGGACCCCCACTTCCGGTTTTATGCCCTAAACAAACAAACCCACCACTAACTTCCGGAAATCGTGTCTCAGCTGCCACTGAACGCTGGGAGTTGAAACTTGGAGGGATGATAAGTAGTGGTAAAATACATGTTGTGTTAAAATTTGAACCATTTCCCACGGGTGGATCGGAAGCTACTCGCACTTGAAAAAACACCCCTCAGACCCCAAATAGGCAATTTTACCAAAATAATTGGACAGTGGCATAATGATTTTTTTGCGACAATTGACATAAGATACGAACCTCGAAAAAAGACCCCTTCTGAGTGAAAACCCTCCGGCGACTTCTTCCGGTGTTTTTAGCCTTTTTCCAGAAAAAGTGATAATGGACCTTAGAAATGGGATAACTTGTGGAGTATTAATGGTATATGGATGGAACTTGGTTGTAAGGACCACCATGAGATTCTGAACCCAAATCTGAAAGCTTGAAGCGGTTGACCTTAAGTTGACTTTTGGGCGTTTTGACCCCAATGTTTTACAGAAAAATTTGAGATTAACCGCGAAAACGGCGTATTACCCAGCCCAACAACTGGAAATGAGAATGGATCACCTTAGTAATAATTAGGAGGAATTTTGTATTTGGAACTAAAGCAGAAGCTGATAGAAATATAGTTTTATATTGCAACCTTGGGGAAGTAGAATTAATTCAAAGTGAACTTGGTAAACATTGGGTTCAGTTTAGTTTGGCGAATGATCTATTAATAGCAATTCAGCTAGACCAAAGAAAAGTAGTCATTGAAACAATTGATAGTAATAGGACCGCAGCAAGAAACGTTTTGAGTCTCCTAAAAAGTATGAGCTGACGGGGAATTTATTTAGCTCCCGGAGGTGAACTTTTGGCCTAATTTGACCCCTAATAGACGAACTACGTTACTCTGATAGCCAGAGGGTGTGGATTGCAATAGAGTACAGCTAGAAATTTTTGATGCTTGGAATGAATTAGCTACGCATGAAAAGGGTCTCCCCCTACCCTTGGGAGGTCGGAGCGTTAACGGAATAATTTAAAAAAAAAGACCTTGGGGAAGTCATTGAGTAAACCTTGCATGGTTTGGATGTTGGACTGAACTCGAGGGCTGAAGTAACTGCGGCTAGGAATTAATTGATTAGATTTGTATGACATTTTTTGTTTGGTCAAACTGTGACACCTATTGTATACCGGGTATCTAATAAGCGTGAAAAGATTGATAAAAGAAACCGAACATGGCACGTGGCAGAGTTGACAGAGGGAGAGATATACTTTTAAAACATGTGCGGACGGGTGATTTAAGCGAATGTCAGGACTGATAGGGAACGGAGTGACTTAACTAAAACTTAGTGCATAGAAAGATAAGGAATTGAAGGGTAACGGAGAGCCTTTAAGAGTCAGAACAATTATTGCTAATGAGCCGAAAAGTTGGTTCTCAGTTAGAGAGAAAACGATTGAGCAAGCCGAGAAGAATAGCTCGTCCGTCGAGGATGCTTTTGCTTGATTTGAGGTTAGTTGTGTCTCACAGAGTTTAGAAATTAGTCCATCTGATTTGAACCCGAGTATAGTACCGGGTTGAACTATTTGTGCGATCGAGTTGCGCTTGAACCCGAGTTTAGTACCGGGTTGTGTGAGCAAGCTGTACTGCTGGAAAAGGTCAGTTTTGAATTCAGTGAACCAAAAATTGACGAGCGGGTTAACGAAACGATTGACAGGAACGAAACAAAAATTTCCTTATAGAAAATATTAAAAAGTAGTTAGCTCTTCAAGGGAATTGTAAACTGCTTTTATATCCTTTGTAGTTGAGAATTTACTCATGTGCCCACGATTTGCTGAACTAGCTAGAAACGCAAGAGGAGAACCGAAAAGAGCATAAACCATAGGGGGAATTTGAGTAATCTTTTGATCGGCCGATTTAGTCTGAGCACCAGACTTTCGGGATTGCGGATGATATCGTGTCTTAGTGTCCCCCGCTATTACACGGTATAAAGGGGAGAAACCCTGCGGCCGTTCAGTAGAGTGAAAGTGTGCTTACAGGAGACGATTCCCCGGAAGACATCTACTAAAATGCCCTCATATTTCTGTTGCTTTTACTTAATTATCATGGGAAGCAGCTCTAGCGCAAATCTACAAAAATACCCTCAAATTTCTGTGACTTCTACTGAATTATCATGGGGAAACAGCTCTAGCGCAAAAGTGAGCGCCACTAAAAACTTTTAAGGCAATATCACTAATTGTCTGTAGATTGCATCCGTTTCACAATTCCGTGGATTTTTTTTTTTTTCACGTAGAACCTGGTTTTCTAAGTTGATTCCAACTTCAAGCGTATTCTATGCTTAACTCTTAAAATAACTGCCAGTAAACACTCCTACTGGTTGTGTATACAGATAAGTAAGCCGGGAAATTTGAACTGTTTTCTCTAAATTTTTAATTTGATCTTTTTAATTCTATTTTCCAAATCCATGACTTGGTATCAGTAGTACAAAACTGATAATTGGGTCTCTAGTTAATTATGTGGTGTTTTATTGTTTTGGTTGAGACCTTTTTTATATTCAAACTTGAGCTCAACAAACAAAAAACTCCAAGATTCCTAAGCTTCAAAAAAAAACTGAATCCTTAATGCTAATTGTTCGAGAAAATGAAAATTTCTATAAAAGTTTTCAATGATTTGATTTTCAACCACGGTAAATGTGCTTTGAAATTCATAGTTAAAATTCATAGTTCATCACATATTCCAAAGAGTTTGATCACATCTCTAAATTATTTTTTATTAAATGACAAACTGAACTGACAGTTCTGGAAAAAAAGTGCTGCCTCTCGTAATTTTCATCTCATTTCTTTTAAATGTTTTTCATAGAAGAAATGGGAAACAAACCAGCTTGTCACTGAAAAATTTCACTGAAACTGAGTCTACGATTATAGGAAATAATGAGCGTAAAAACTGTAACCTATAAAAAAAAGTTTTTCCAGTTTCCATTCCAATGAAAATCTATTACTTTTCTGACTTTTTGTATCCTTGATTTAGATATTTTGATAATCTAGGTTAATCAAGCAAATTTATGCGATAGCAGGGCACTAACCTCTGGTTTGACATGATCTGTTCCTTTCACTCTTAGATATCTGAAACGGGCTTAATTTGCCTGATGGCATCTTGAATGGGTTTCTTTAAATTGAATGATTGTCCTTTTAAGTTAGCTTTAACTTACACTTACATTTTTTTATTAATATTTTATTATTGTACTTGAGAGCACTGGCCTGCGCAGATATGTTTCTAGAGGGCGGTTTTTCGAAAAAAAAAATTGAAAGAAAATTTTGTCGACCTTTTTTTTTAGATGGACCAATTTGATTTTCCGAGCTCTCCGAAATTACAATAGGAACCTTTTCTGTCAAAAATTTTTGCGCGACAGACGAATTTTAGGGAAAAAAAGGTTAAACTGATGTTTTGAGCATTTTTAAATAATTTTTGACAAAAAACTGCGATTTGTTGTTGAAGACTTTAGAAAATTTTGATGTTGGACTTCCAAAATCTCGTAAAATTATATCAAAGGGGGACGGACTCTTAGGAAAAATTTGGCAACCAGAGGGGGGAGGGGTCGAAAACTTATGAAAAAAATTGCTTGGAAAACTCCTTTTTTGTTTAAAGAGTACAGTGCTATTAATGGTGTTTGACGGGCTGAAGAGACAACATTTCAAAGTGTAAATCATTTTCGTTGGTTAGTTTAAGGGCAAGAAAAGCAAGCGCATAAATGATCACAGACAATCAGAGTTTTGCTGTTATTTTATTTTCTGAAGACGATTTTGCTAACCAAAATTATTCAAGTTACTAAAATTATAAATAGCTTTACAAATACAGCCAACAAAAACTCTAAAAAAAGTTGAATCACTTTATGTAACTTTTCAAATGCGGAGCAAACTTTCGTTGTCTAGAAATAGCCCAACAGGTCAATTGTAAATCATATGCGCGCAGAATTAAGTACTGCGTTTGAAATTTGGTCCCAAAAAACCTATCGTGTTCATTTCAAAAACCTTTCTTTTCCAAAAATTTTAACAAAATTATTGAAAAAAGTGTTTGAGCGCGGTTGATGTTTTTCCGAAAGGTTTCGGCCAAATTTATCGTTTTGCCTTATTTCTTTGACTAAATTCAATTTTTGCGATAGGAAAAATTACAATCAGTAACTTATAGAGCGAATGGTTTAATTATACAGTTTTACTATAGCACAAGACTGCTCGTATATCAGGGAAAAGTCCTGA